GGACTTTCTCATTTTTATTAAGGATACATTTACAAAGATTACACTGATTATTTTCATTATGCCTACGTGTATCTTCATCACTMATACATATWGGAACATTTGTCTTTAATAACTCTTCAATTTTTAAACCTACTTCTACAATACTATTTACAAAATGCCTTGCAACCTCCTCTCGATTATCACTACCGCGATAAATAACCGGTGAAGTCGGTATATTGAATTTTTCAATAAGCTCCAACGGTACGYCTTCAGATACCTTTACTACAAAACCATAACTCATATAGGTTTATGCCTATGTATTATTGTCRTATTCTTACCCCTGCACTCATCGGTATTTATTAGTAGCGCCTCAAAATCTCCATAAATTGCGAAAGGGTGACGTTGTGCATTTCCCCACGCTTTAAATTCAAGCGTTGTGTCAGCTTCGGGCATAATGGGAAGAATAGGTTTATGTGACCCGCAAATAAGTTTATGCTGTTGGAGAGCTAGCTGTACGCTTAACTTATATTTTAAATTTTGGTTATCAAATGACGTGAARCACCGTTTACAATAATATACCGAATGACCGTGTAAGGTAGTTTGTGAACGAATAAGACGTGAAAAAYTTGAAATATATACATAGTGACTTTTTTCGCCGTCACTGAATAAAATTATATCGAAATGGTTTGCTTTTTCATCATCTACGACTTTTATTGGATATACGTGACTACGTTCTAAAGATATTTTTTTAACTCCGTAAATATTTACAGACACCCCCGGGTTATTTTTTTCGAAAATCTTAACTTCACACCATGGAGTTAGGAATGATAAGCCTGTGAAATTATATTTGTTCTCGTGTTGGTAATAATTTTCGCCTACTCGATGTTTATTTGGACCTGTCACGTGCTTTGCCAAAATTGYCCATTTAAAACAATATTGATCATTGTTTTGAGGGTTAATTGTAGCCCGTTTATTAATTAAAGAAGGTGGAAGCTTAATGTAGGATGAGCCAGCTACAGCGTAATTATCAGTTTGATCGTTAAAAGAACTATTATCTTGTGTATTATTAGTATTGTTATCGGTATTATTATTATTATTAGTATTATTTCCGTTATCAATATTTCTAATCGGGATTTGAATATTTGGAGTATCGCCCATGGGTGTGTATTTGTAAACTGTCAATAAAAGTCCATCGATAGATTCCAAAACATAACCACTACCCTTTGCTACATAAATTTCCTCCTCGTGTAATAATGTAGTAAACGCCTCATCTATTAATAAAGTTATATCTGAATCGATAAAGATTGGCCTAGCCGATGTCTTGAAAGACCTGTTTTGTGAAGAGTTTTCTACATTAGGCTGACTGTACGTTGCTTCTAATTTTAAATTAAATTTAATTGACGATATGACAACAATTGATTTTAATAAATCAACAAGTTCTATTTTTAACGATTGGAAAAAAGAATTATAATTTTCGAAATTGATTAGATTTTTAGCGTAATACTAAACGATTTTTCGACCGTGTGCGGATTTAACTTCAACAAAGCCTAGTTTATTAGATAAATCCATTCGAACCTTTTTCGATTTAATGCGGGATGCTGTGTTTTCAACGTGTACACGCTTTCCCCCTACCGTAGCCATATCAGAATCTGCTTAAAAATAAACAGAAATAAATAGTGGAACCTAGCACCAATAATAATAAAATCTTACTTTTTGTATTGCATAGTCCAGTACTTTCAGCAATATCCAATACTTCTACGCACATTTTATCGTTAAAATCTTCGGATGGTATATTATTCACATACTGCCAAGAGAGACCTGCTGGCTGGTCTGTTATACTCAGAGTGATATTGTTTTCACCCCGGGGCGGTCGAACGTGACCAACAGCTTGTAAAATAAATATCAAATTGAATTTTTGGAGAAAAAAAAAATATATTAAAATAAATATACCGTGAATGTTTTTCATATGTCTGTTCAGATTAGACTTGGTACTTAACGTAGCATTGCAAATAGAGCACGAAAAGCGAATTCCTTGRTGTATGATTTTGTGTCTGATCAAACTATCTTTACGCGTGAACGTCGACGGGCACTGGTCACAATTAAACATGTTGATTAACGTTTAAAAAATTAATAACACTGAGAAATACTCGAAGACGAAGC